TCAGCAGCGTTGACGCTGGAAGCGAAAGCCGCGACAACGGCGGCGAAGAGTTGGTACTTCATAGTGGAAAGTTATCGAGTCGAAGATAAAGAATGGATAGCAAACACAGTTTGCTGAAAAGAATGACAGGTGGTGAATGAGAGAATGAGAGAATGATGCTAAGAACTGGATGATGCCAATATCCGGTGGCTGACCCGTTCCTTTATATCTCGTAGGATTCTTGGCTGGTGTTTGAAGCACGCCCCACTCACTCTACCTACGGGGGTATGTTCCTTTCGAGCATGCACCTGGACCCTTTGACGCCGTTCATCACCGACGGCAGTGGGTATCGGACAATTCGAATCGCTACTAGAAGCCAGGACGCGCATACCAGTGCCTGGAGCGGGCGGAAAGATACTTCCACCACCAAAGAGTCATGAACATGTCGACAGTGCGTAGTTTGGTGCTCATGCATCCATGGATAGGTTGCTTGACGGGCGTTTACAAACAGAATGGCGTTGCGGAAGTAGCTTCGCAACGAGTCTAGTCCCGGCAGTCCCGCTGTTGTCGTTTCATGAACATAACAGGGCAGCCACTAGCTCCACAAAACCGTGCCCGGGCCAGACTCGACGGAAACATATTGATTAAGCTTATCCGACATAAGATGACAGGACTGCCCCTTGCGGGAGGGTAGAAGACCTGGTCTGTGGCTCATGAGGCTGAGCTTTGCGAAATCCCAGGGTTCTGTAGGAGTGATTGTTCCGATAGGTGGAATCTGCAAGCAGCAACCAGGTTTGTCCGAGAGCGCAAGGCTGACGAGAGATGAAATATGATGAACAAGAGGAGAAGACAAGACTAATCAAGCATTGCCTGAATCGTTCTTCATCATTGCGAATGTCGTTGGTTGCAGTAGTGACGCGATCAGTTAGCGCTGTCAGCTGTCACGGTTAGCAAGCGCGCCATCCACCAAAGATTCCCGGGTTGGTGGACGCGCAAACTTTCCATCTTTAAGTTTACTTCCCGGCTATAGAACGGGTGGTGGGAGACAACATCGCACGGACGGGTTGTGATGGTGATGGTGTTGAAGCATCGAAGATGGCGGACTGGTGAGGCTTGGTCCGATGCGACACTAGCGCGTTTTACTTGCGGTTAGACGCCCACCACGTGGTTCTGCATGACGCCTTTCCCTACTCTCCAGTAGCTAGCCACGACAACGAAATGAAGCGACTCGCAGCCTGAACCTCTCCTCTGCGAGACTGCATAACCCAATTACGCAGCTCAACGTCGACTAATTACTAGATCGTGGTGCTTCCACGCGTTTCCCAGCAGCATGTGGGACCAACCACACAAGAGCAGCCGAAGCCGTCAGAAGCAGAGCAGCTCCTACCGCGCAGCACCGAGATATAGTAGCCAAGTCCCGCATAGTTACCGGGATACCCAGCATTCAGAAAACTACGTCTCGTCGCCCACGGATTCGAGCTCGGACTACGACACCCCACGCCGTGGATACTACGAAGATTTACCCCCCAATCATAGGCGATATGTGAATCGGGCTATGGCATCCGAATACGCTACGCAGACAAGAGAACCAAGGGACGTGTACGGTTTCTCACAGCCTCGCCCAAGGCATCAACCACGACCATCTGGGCGGCCACAGTATCGGGCTCAGTCTTCAGATCCAGACTGCATCGCACAAGATTCTCAGTCTGACGAAGATTACATAGCTACACCTGAAGTAAAGAAGGATGCTTGGAAAAATCGTGGGTCTCGCTACGATGACCGTTCCACGGACGATTCCCTGGGCAATGGTTCACCGATCCGCCACCCTCCTCCAGAGAACTACAGTGATAGTCCCCCCTCAGACTACGCTCCTCGTCCCAAACCCAAGTCCGAAGATCGGAGGGTAAAAGCAGGCTGGGGCAATAGTGATTCCTTCAGCCAACCGCCCCGCCTAAACCCTAGGGAGCACGAGAACTACCGCGAAGCAAAGCAATTTCTCGACCGCTTCCAACAGCTCCACACTCATACAACGGATCGGTCCGACACCGAATCCTACAGCGATGGCAGCCCGGCGAATCGCAACCCAGTGAATCGCCAAGCTAGATTTTCCGGGCGATACCCAGACCCTGAGCGAGATGATGAAGATGACTACGCGCCAAGTCCACACAATTACCGAGAGAGGCACCATAGCGAACGTACTCGTTGGAGGGATTCAGAAGAATCTTACCACCGGTTCGAGGTGGAAAACCGCCGCAGCCATCGTGAGCCTCGTGCAAGGAATCTAGATCCCCGATCTGTTCGGCCCAGTCTACACCGCCCGGACAGCTCCTTCCATCAGGCCAGTAGCTTCTCTGCTCCGCCTCCTCCTCCCCCTCCAAGACATGTAGACCACTACCGCCACCGACGCGGTTCAACATACTCAGACGATGACGACGATGCCACTTGCTCCGACCACAGACCTGGCGCCCACACAGCCGCGTTGTCAGACATAGCATCTCGACCCAGCTCCTCCCACTCCGACCGCCTCTCCCGCGTCCCCACAGCCGTAGACTCAGAAGACTACCATTCGCCACCCCCTGCAGTACCATCCCCACCACCTCTATTCCGACGGCATCGGGACAGCGGCAGTGACTACGCCCCCATGCCCGGCGCCTTCCGCAGCGTGAGCAGAAGTCAGAGTAGGAGTCCCTATGAACCAGTAAGGGGCGGCAGAAACCGGAGTCCCTACATGTCTTCTCCTGTTCGCAGTACACCTGTTAGAAAAGGGAGGGGCATTGGGAGATATAGGAGTGACAGTGATGATAATGGTGTAGCGGAGGGGAGTGACTATCTTCCTAGTGATAGCGAGGATGATGAGCGTATTAGTGGGGATGGTAATGGTGTGGCAGAGGGAAGTGATTATGCTTCTAGCGATGATGGGCGGAGCGATGTTTGTGAGAAGGATACCTGGGGTGCTAGGATTGCTGGTGTTGAGAGGGGAGGTGCTGGTGGGAGGGCGTATGGGAAGATGTGGTAATGATGGTGGGTATGCAGTGCATGAGGATGATGGGATGAAGCTTGACGAAACGATGTAAGTGTGTAACGACTTGGTAATATGATGGTTCTTTCTTATTTCATTCCTAGATGTGGTGGGACGACACAACTACCATCACATCAGCACCCCATTCAATGCTAACCTAACGTATGCATACTCGTACACTCGTGCTGCTTCGCCAAATGCATGCCGTTCGACACCCAAGCCGAAGCACCTCACTCTGTCATATGATACAATGCCTCCTCCATGGTCTCGTTCATGTGTTTCTAAACGCTGACTGTCGTCGCTTCCGTAGCATCAGGCACACCCGCCTCAGCCAAAACTTGCTCTGGCTTCAATTCAGCCGTCGACATGGGTCCCTTCGGCCACGGCTTCCCCTTCGCATCCTGAACACGGATAATCTGGTTCTTTGGTCCTGGAACACAGCCTACACACACGTCGTTAGCACCAACCAATGTAATCGTACTATGCATCCCATACCTTGAACAACCACAATACCATTCGGCTCGTCAACCTGCAACACCCTCAAGTTCTTGACCGTCACACTCTCGTTTCCCATATTACCCGCCATACGCTTTCCAGGCAACACACGCGAACCTGAACCCTGGGAACCTCCGGCAGAACCCATACCACGATGCATGAGCGATTGACCGTGAGAAGCTGGTTGACCACCGAAGCCGTGTCGTTTCATGCCCTGAACAAATTGCTCGTTAGCATTCCATCCCAATTCGCATCACCCGTCTTCATGAACAGATAGAGATCCAGAACTTACACCAGCGAATCCCATACCCCTACTTATCGCCTTAACATCCACCCATTGTCCCTTTGTAAACCACCCCGCACCCACCATCTCCCCTACACTCACACCCAAGCCCTCCTCATCTTTAACCTTGAACTCAACAACCCACCTCTTGGGACTCACGCCCGCACCCGCGAAATGCCCCAACATAGGCCTCGTCACATTCCGCGCTTCTTTCTGCCCAGCCCCGATCTGGACAGCCCAGTACCCGTTTACATCTCTCCGCTTATGCGCCACGACTTCGTTACGGTCGAGTTGCAAAACTGTGCATGCTGTGCGCTTCCCTGTTTCAGGCTCGTAGATGGATGTCATGCCCTTTTTCAAAGCGAGCAGACCGGTTCGCAGGGGCGTGCTGTGGGCTTTCCGCTCGAGCGCTGCCGTTGATGTGCTGGTGAGGGCTTCTCGCGCGGGGTGATGTGCGAAACGGTCGGGTTTGGGACCGAAGGTAGATTTTATGGTTCGGATCGATGTGTATGCGATGGTGGGTCTTGAGGAGAGTTGTTGCGCATTTTGCTGGAGGAGGCAGCGCGCTGATGAGGGGAGGAGGAAGGAAGGCGGTAGTAAGCCCCAATTGAGGGGCGCTTTGGGCGGCATTGTGGGCGTGGTGTTGTTGCGTTGGAGATGCGGCGCTGGCTTGTTCGCCGCGGATATTTGAGATTCCCGGTCTGAAGCTCAGATTCAGTGCACGGGCCATGCTGCGCACGTGTAGTTCTGTTCACGGTCAGAATCTGAGCTAGGCTCAATGCGCTCTAGCAGGTCATGGCGGGGTAATCGCAGTCATGGAACATGTATGTCTACCCGCGAACAGGGAAATGCATCTGTTCAACGAAACGCAGTTATTGATTGAAGCGACCACGTGTAGGAGATGTTATGTTTTTTTTAGCTTTTAGAGCCATGTCCAGCAGGCGCAAGGTACCAAGACACAATGAGACTATACAAGTCAGATACCACCCGTGCTCAACGTACCACTATATACTGGTTCCTCTCTCCCTTCCATAAATAGCAAGAAATTTTAGCAATGGGTATCCTCCAGTTGTAGAAACGCCGAAACTCCTGCACCACACAGTGGCGCTTAATATGACATACATGACCCATATCAAATAGGTTAACTCAATCCCCACATCTCCTCAGCGCAACAAAACGTCCTGAAAGACAGTAGAGGCGCAAGATGTTGTCACACTGAACAGCTTAGAGTATATTGGTGGCGGGGTTCCCTTGCATGATGGAATTGGCGAGGACAGACTACGCGAGGTCAGTACAAACATGCGTAAGCTGATATGGGGGTGATGAACTTACGCTTAAAACCACAGACCCTGGACGCACTATGGTGTTAGGGCCAATCTGGACGCCAGCCGCGATTATGCAGTTATCACCAATGTACACGTTCTCCCCGATAAGGACCTCTTGCGCAACCTCTGTGCCGTTGCTGCCCTTCAGAGATTTGGTGTCGGTAGGTGTCTTCAGAGTCTGTATAGTAACTCGGGCCCCAATCTTGCAGTTCCTTCCAATGGCAATCCTCGCGGAGTCATGAAAACGACAATCAGCGCCGATGACAATGTTTTCGCCGAAACTCAGGTGGTAGCCGTAGTCGCAAGCAAAGGGCGCAGCAACATGACAGTTGTCACCCATATGAGTTTCGATTCGTCTGGCTTCATCACCTCTCTTGCCCGCGTTCAGGATTTGTTTGAAAAGGTGGTCGACCGTTTGGCTAGATAGAACATTGGAGGGGTTGATATTTCCGTTGAAATAAGATTGTGCTAGCGCGCTCAAATGACGCTCTTTCATCAGGACCTTGTCAAAGGGGTTGAATGGCTCTCCAGCAAGCATCTTGTCTTTTTCGGACCTGTACATGGTCGATGTAGACGACGAGGAGTAGCGTGTCGGTGACCGCGTAGGTGGCAAAGATGTTGGCGGCGGGGGAGGCGGTGGATGCTGTGGTGCCACATGCAGCTGTTGGATAGGCTTGGCGGCCCTAGAAACGTGTTAGCTGATGAAATGCGAGTGCATCCCAGTTTGAGTTCAAAGACAAGTGATAGACACGATCCGGTGTCCAGGAGCTGTTGACAACTCAATTGAGTTTGAACCGAAAGCAGAAACTCACATAGTGGTAGGAACAGCAGTGTTGATAGCGAGATGAGTCGTGCTTGGCGGAGCATGATGATAACCACGAGAACTGTGGTGAGACTGCTGTTGCTGTTGAGGCACAGGTCTATGGTCCAAGCTCGAAAGCCTTTCATAGTGGTTGACCGCAGGTTGCATGTACTGTACTGATGGTGGTGGTGGCGGCGGCTCTGGCTGGTAGGCAGCTCGAACTGGTGGCGGTGCAGGCGCAGAGTCACTCCAAGGTTTCCATGACTTGCGATCGATACCGTTGGTTGAATGCATCTCAGAGGGTGTGTATGACACTTCAGAGCTATGAGGTGGTCTGCAGTGAGGTGTGTGCGTTTCTTGACAAGTTGGGCACGTAGGGTAGGCAGCGAACTTCTCCTTGGCTATCAGTGCAGGTGGTTTGGCTGGTCCATTCTTCGGCCAAGGTACCTTGTTGGCATAGCCTTCACAGACAAAGCCACCGCGTGTGCAGTTGTTGCCTGCTAGAGGTCAGACTTGGTCAGAACAGGAAGCCATTTTCAAACGTACATTCTGGTTTGGCCTCGTCGCACTTCTTCTTCCTCCTACGGCATGTTCCACAGCCAGTCTTGGTGCGGTTGGCAAATTGCTGTGGAGGTTAGTATTGGTCAGGGGTTAGGCTCAGGGTACATACCCGTTTCCGCTTCTTAAGCTCGACCTGTACACCAGCCCGCGTGAACTCAGTCTCTTCGATCATGTCACGGCTAAGAGACTGCGACTCAGGAGACATGTCATTGGTGCGGCTGTGCTCGGTGGGACGCGATTCATGGTGTTGGAAATGCTGATGGGCTGCGTGAGGCAGTTCACGGGGTTCCGTTTGCCAGCGTCGTTCGGTGTCTGGACGACCTAGTGGAGGCAGAGTCGGTAGCGGAGGGGCTTCCATGCTCATGGTCGTATTGCGGTTCAAGGGCTGGTATGGAAGTGGAAGTTGCCTGGGGCCAGCGGTCCTCTGATCAGGGCTGTGTTGGCCGTAGGCGTCTTCTTCGGAGCCGGAGCGTCTTCTCTTATTTGGGTGTTCAGGAGAGGACCTTGTCTTGTCTGAACTATCAGGAGATCGATCTCCACTGCCAACAGTGGACGAACTCGTGTCGCTCTCTGGGGAGCGAGAGTGATGTTTGGGCTCAGGATCTGGGGAGGCGGGACTCCAGGCAGAAGGTTTGGCGGCAACGGTTGGCTTCTTCTCGTCGGGCGGACTCAGAGACAATCGACCATTGACGGAAGTAAACGCAGGGCCATGGGGAGCGGAATTAAAGGCGGGCATATGCAGTATGGTCGACATGTCCAAGGCGGGATATCAGAGCTGGGGATCAAGGCTGGATAGTCTACGGAGTCAAGTCGAATCTACGGCGGGCTATGGGGAGGGTGTCCAGCGACCATAATCTTTGTGTCTCGTTGGGGTCGTGAGATTCTTTGCAGTGACGATCTTGAGTGATGCCGGGGACAGTGTCGTGGTTACACTGTAGCGTACTCGGAGTAAGATGAGTTCAACGGTCAGGTCAGGCACCGTGCGGGACTCGACGACTGGTGGCCCGGGAGTCGTCTGTGCTCTTCAGAGTCAGTGTGTGCTTCGAGGGAGGATCCCGGGGTTGGCAGCGCGGGCGTGGTGTCGTTCGGGCGATGCGATGCCAGCGAAGCCGCCTCTCCACGGCGGGGGCTGTATATGGCGGGAAGACAGTATATGGCGCGACGAATGTGGGAGGGGCGACCCGACGCCAGACGCTGGCCACGGATGAGCAACAGGATTCAACGGAGGGCGGCTGTTCGCTCCTTCTGCTGGCGCACACATGGGCTCTACACATCCCGGGCGGCCACCCATGTCGTCCCTTCCTCATTGGCCCGAGCTGCAGGCGGCCCCTGCCCCCCGCGTTTATCTGTCCCACCCGGGCTGGCACAGAACCATCACCGAACACCTCGTAGAAGGACCACAGACGCGGTTCCTTCGACTATCTACATAATAGACCCTGCATTTTGGCCGCTGCCACGTTTTTTTGGCGGAAAAGTCGCGTCTACAGCCCTACAGCCGTTTTCTGGGTGTGAAGGAGGGTAGAGTGGGCGGAGAGGCCTCCAGGATGGCACAGACGGCTGCGTGCGACCAGCGCTCCCGGCATGCTGGCATGCGAGGTTGATCAACCAGGAATCGTTAGAAGGATGCAAGCCAACGCGGAAACCTCACATTAAAGTGCTGTGTCGTTGTTATTGGCGCTGCCCAAACCTTAGCTTATCCACCTGCTCCATCGCCAAACGCAGTAGCCGCGCTGCACGCCCGCGCACCACCAAACTCTTCACCAGACCGCGGCACCGCAGCCTGCCCGACACATAGCGAGCACACAAAACAATGGCAGCCCCCGCCTGACGTCGCCCGCGACGCCTGCGATGACGGCTGCGAATCACTCCAGTGCTCCATCCTCACCACCACGCGCTGCGTATCGCCCGGCCTCCCGAGCGCTTCCATCAAGGGGTGCCGTCATGGCCCATCGGCACTGCCTCCTCCTAACCGCCTGCTCAGAGGCCTGCTGGGTGCCTGCCTCCGCCGATTTCAAGGCCAGCACCAAACAAGAAGGCGCTCATGGGTCTCGCCGTGTTTCATTTATCAGATCCACGCCGCACACCTTCCCACCACGCCCACCCGTCCTATGCCCTTAGCATCATCAATATGCTCGGCTGCGGCACTGCCATAGGCCTAATGCTTGTGCTGCGCTCCATGTCCAAGTCGCGAGTGCCACTGTCTGCTGCGTGATACCCTCCATGGTTGGCTGCCCGGCCCGTCTCGTACACCTTCATCTATGGGCGCTTCGCGTGCAAACTTTGCTCGCCAGGAACCCGCCCGCTCAATATGGTCAAACCTCCACCACTACATACGTCAAGAGCCGCGATGTCTGTCCTCGGCTAATTGGCAGGTGCGCAACTTACCCGTTGTATGCTGTACGGAGCACTGTCTGACTCTCACGCGTTGCTCGACGATCGGTCATGCGTCTGAGCAACCCCGGTGCGTCAGCCAATAGCACCTCGACAGTTTCGCCACGCATTGCACACGAAATAACGCCTCGTTAAGCGCGGCCGTTTGTCGGCTGCGACTTGTCGTTGTAACTCACTGCAAATGTGGTTCGTGTTATGCGTGCGCAGCCTGTTCACAATTCCATCAGTCCGTCTCGCTGGTTCTCGCGGCGCGTTCCGTTCCCGCTAGCGATCAGACAAAGACCTGGACCTGCGCCGCAGGCCGTACGGCATTGTCCTCACAGCTGTGCCGCCCGCTGGATTCCAAGAACGGCTCAGCCCTTGCCATGGTGCTCACGGAGCTGACGTCTGCTCTCTCTCAGCCTCGCCTCATCCTTCCGCTATATGACTCGAGTAGCGACGGGAAGCGCGGAACAGCGCGCTTGTCACCAACGTCTACATACGCCGCCCACCTCCGTGCCAAATCTCGATTCTCCATTCATATTGATTGTGGAGCGCCACCTTCCGTGACCAACCTGACTGCGATGATGTCGCACCTGATTATGCATTTATCTGGACCTGTTATGCAAACTCAGATGATCACGCTTGCTGTTGACGTCGTCGCTGGGTCCCAAAACAAATACCCACGGTCGCACTAACCCATCGCGAGCATTAACAGCATGCAACTGCTCAAGACTGCTCACCGCGGTACTCGCGCTCTTTTCGCCGAAGAGATTCGGCATTTCTCCAGACACGGCCTCACCGACAGGATCCGAAGGATTCCTCTTCGGTAAAGTGTTGCGGCATGAGTCGAATGTGGTCCAGATTTTTATGCAGTGTGCTATACTCGAGCTTGACAGCTTCACGACACCAGCAACCTTTCTGCACTAAGATCTTCAGATCATAACATGATACTCCATTGACATGTTGGACATGTAGTTCAGCAACGGTGCTTCGCGCAATCTACCCATTTGGCCATTGCTGCTCGGGATGCGAGCATGCCGGGCTGCGGCACAGTTCGCCAGCAATTCCGATTACGTATGCGGCGTTGGCAGGATGCATAGACCAGACGAATTACCAACGCACCTCCCCGGCGTGAGTCGTTGGGATCGATCAAGAATTTTGATGTACTGGCGAGGGAACTACTGGTGAACTCATCGTTTCCCGACAATGTGGTACCGACTGTTCGCTTCAACCGATTCCGCAACTTTCGCATCAGACAACGACTACTGAAAACTGCGTTTCTAGCGAACGGATTCGGAGCAAGCTGGTGTAACGTACTGGAAGCTGATTGTAGGATCGCGCGCTAGTACACGACGATTACTCCGAAGTCCGCCCTTTTGCAGCCAAACGAACCCTTCCAATGTTTACGCCCGGCAGGTGAATTGCACGCCAGGCTCCCGGATAAGCAAAGCCTATCGACATATGTAAGGGGTTATTTACGCCCTGTCCGTGCCGCATTCACCAAGCTGTCGGGACATGCGGTGATGCACTTTGGAGACGAGCATGCTTTAGCATTCACCTTGCCTACTCGATTCGGACAATGCTATTCTGACACCAAGAAGGAAGATTATTGAAACATCAATAACACGACCAGCCCCGACTACGGTAAAACGTCATAGTCTCTATGCGCTGCTTGACGTGGGCGAGTCAGCGCTTACCGAAGCGCTTAAGGTTTCACAAGATGCGTAGACAACTGCCGGCCGCTTTGAACCGACATCCTCACTCTGGCGACACGCGGTGTGACGGATCCGCATAATGTGAGATCTCACCCGCGTATCGATCGTCCAATCACATATGGAGGACGTCCGATTCTACCATTCTACGTTCCGGGTATTGATTGTTGGTGTCGCCGTCATACCGAGCATCCGAAATGTCACTTTGGGATCGGGATTCTGTCCTCAGCGAAGGGTTCAAAGCTGCGTGTTCACTGTTTAGCATATGCTGACTTCAAGGGATATCCTAACATACGAGAGTCGGTCCGAAATCTGATTACAGAGGGGATAGACATACGATACAGACGCGATGCAGCTTCCCAACATTTGTTGGTACCCAAATATGACACGCCATTACTCGTCACACCGCCAAAGACAGTACATTGTCACCGGACACTTGGGGAGTGTGGAGACGATCATCAGATAGGCAATTAGTATATGCCGTGTTGCAGCTAACTGTGTAAATCCTGGACAACACTAACGGTGTGCCTTAATATAGAACGCAACGGTAATCGGAAGCCAAGTAGCCCGTTCTCCAATGTCAAGGGCCGACTCATTGTCGGGAACACCATACTATTAGTCAGATGGTTCGAAAAATTCTCCTAAAAAGGTAATGCGCAAGTTTACCATCGACGCCCGTCTGATCAAGCTATTTACATCGCAGTAACGACGTACTTTGAAGCGCCAACTGCTTGAGTCTTACATCCGAGACTCTATCATCCCCAATACTCATATGCTAGGTGTACACCATTTTGTCGCCCTATGGCACTTCGTCGCCGTCTATACTTGATTACCAAACAAGATTACTGCCATCAAACTAAAATCTTCGTCTTTCGGACATGGCTATGCTCTACTCCGAACAGTAGTCTTGGACAATTCCCAGCGGTAAGGCTCAAACGCTCGCTACCTCCACAATGACCGTCGCTTTGATTTCATGACGGACAAGTTGGTCAAACGCTTCATACTGTTCCACCACCGGATCAAGTTATGATCGTACTCTCTTCTCCCATAGGTTCCCCTCCATTACTATCCCATCTGCTGCTCACCTAGCTTAAATTTCAATGCAGACGAACATCGGCAGCATATTGTTTTATCTTACTCCTGTAGCTCTCATCATGCATGTCAAATCAGCCAAGCAACAAGTCTTAACTCAGACAAGATACGGTAGCATCTCCACGTACTTCTGTACGTCTCACCACAAACTCGAACTCACAAACACACAAATCAACCCTCCATTCAAAAACTCTTCGTCAATATGCCATTCGATGCTATTTACTCCACTTTCTCTCCCTCCCTCTTCCTTCCCTCTGTATGTCTCGCCAACCCACATAATATACAAACCGTCTTACAAAAAAGTTTCCCACAAAGATCCAAATTTGGGGGGTATCAGAAAAATGCGCGCTCTTGTTTGCTTGCTTCGGGGGTTAAAAGAACAAAACGAGAAGTGAAAGCCCTCCAATCCTGCCATTCTCTACTCTGTCTCTCTCGATCCTTGCACACTCATCATATGTGTGTGCTTAGTTGTGGGTGTACATGCTCTTTGGCATGGTTGACCTCATTCCTTGATGTTGCAGCTTTGGTGTCTGCTGCTCTTCACTCCACATTCCTGTTC